TTAAATTTTAAAAAGTGCCCATTGAGAGATTTATTCAGGAATGTCTGTGGATGAAAATAGCACCCAACCCCTCCCCAGAGAGGGGTTGAAAGAGGTGTGATGGAGGAGAGAGTGAGGAGGCTGTGGGTGGGTGGGGCCTGAGTTGGCTCTACTATCTCTTCACTTTCATTATAGTTAGACCAGAATGAATTGATTATTAACAAAAGGACAAACACAAAAAGTGTCCAGGACCCCAGGGCCCGTCATCTCGGACTAGTGACATAACCCTGTGGTGGTGGGTCCAAGAGTCTAAATGCTCATTCCCCGCCAGGCATGGCAGCTCACACCTATAATCCTAGTACTTAGGGAGGCTGAGATGGGTAGATTGCATAAGCTCAGGAGTTTTGAGAGCAGCCTGAGTAAGAGCAAGACCCCATCTCTACTAAAAATAGAAAAAAAAGTAGCATGTTGTCACAAGCCTATAGTCTCAACTAGTTGGGAGGCTGAGGCAAGAGGGTGTCTTTTTTTTTTTTTTTTGAGACAGAGCCTCAAGCTGTCACCCTGGGTAGAGTGCTGTGGTACCACAGCTCACAGCAACCTCCAACTCTCCAACTCCTGGGTTCAAGTGTTTCTCCTGCCTCTGCCTCCCAAGTAGCTGGGACTACAGGTACCCGCCACAATGCCTGGCTATTTTTTGGTTGGAGCTGTCATTGTTGTTTGCTGGGCCCAGGCTGGATTTGAACCCGCCAGCTCAGGTGTATGTGGCTGGCACCTTAGCTGCTTGAGCCACAGGTGCCGAGCCGCAAGAAGGTCTCTTGAACCCAGGAGTTTGACAGTGCTATGAGCTATGACACCACAGCACTCTAGCATAGGTAACAAAGCGAGACTGTCTCAAAAAAGAACAAACAAAAAACTCCAACTCATTCTCATGAGTAGGAGGTTATGGAAGACCTCCAAAAACTGGTAAATCAAGAGAGAGAGCTTATCCCCCATGCTCACAGCAGCACCATCCCTGACAGCCAAAGGGTAGAAACAGCCCAGGTTAGTGGATCAACACAGTCTGGTCCACGCTGGAATATCACTCAGCCATGAAAAGGAAAAAGGTTCTGACTGCAGAAGGCAGCAAAGTGGATGAACCTTGAGGACATCATGTTCATGAGAGAAGCCAGACACAGAAGGACACACAGTGTGAGATTCCATTTAACATGAAATGCCCAGAACAGGCAGATCCACAGAGACAGGATGTGGTGGCCGGGGGCTGGGGAGGAGAAAAAAAGAAAGAAAAGAAAAAGCAGCACTAATATCTTTAGAAACATGGAGGAGAATTGCAGAAGAAACAACATGACTGTTGAAAGAGGTCACCCTTGGGGAGTGGGCTCAGGGTTGGGGGCCAGGCCTGGCTCTCTCCCATCAGGAGGACTTTAGTGATACTTGAACCATTTGCAGTTTTGTTTTGTTTTTTTGTAGAGACAGAGTCTTACTTTGTTGCCCTTGGTAGAGTGCTGTGGAGTCACACAGCTCACAGCAACCTCCAACTCCTGGGCTTAAGTGATTCTCTTGCCTCAGCCTCCCGAGTACCTGGGACTACAGGTGCCCGCCACAATGCCCAGCTATTTTTTGGTTGCAGTTTGGCCAGGGCCAGGTTTGAACCTGCCACCCTCGGTATATGGGGCTGGCGCCCTACTCACTGAGCCACAGGCGCCGCCCTGAACCATTTGCAATTTTAAAGTGTATTGGAGAAATACTGTAACAGGGATGATAGGAAGACATGGCAGTAAAAATGGGAGCATACTGCATGTATGTAAATTATCTTTCAATGGAATCTACTACCCTCCATAGAGTACCCTGGCATCATAGCTCACAACAACCTCAAACTCGGGCTCCTGGAATTCTCTTGCCTCAGGCTCCCAGGAAGCTGAGATTACAGGTGCCCACTACAATGCCAGCTATTTTTAGAGATGGGGTCTTACTGTGTCTCAGGCTGGTCTTGAACCCATGAGCTCAGGCAATCCACCCACCTTGGCCTCCCAGAGTGCTAGGATTACAGGCATGAGCCACTGTGCCTGGCCCCCTAACCAGAGAAAATTAACTGCGTGTGGAGCACAATTTTGTGGTTTTATATTCCTTGGCCTTTCCAAACTTTGGTCCTGTTGGATGGGCTCTGCCATACCCAGGCCAACCTGGCCTTCACTATCCACCTGTCACCATGAATGGGTTTTGCCTCTTCTGGATCCTTGCATTAGTGGAATCATTCTATGCTTACTCTTGTGGGAAGTTTCTTGC